CCAGAGCAGAGCTGCTCCAGCCCTCCCAGCATCTCTGTGGCCTCCTCTGGCCTCTCTCCAACAGCTCCGTGTCCTTCTTGTGTTGGGGACCCCAGAGCTGTTCCCAGCCCTGCAGGGGGTCCCACCAGAGCAGAGCAGAGCAGAGGGGACAATCCCCTCCCTGGCCCTGCTGGTCACGCTGCTGGTGACACAGCCCAGGACACGGGTGGGTTCTGGGATCACCACACGGTGCTGGTCCATGTTGAGCTTCTCATCATCCAACACCCCCAAGTCCTTCTCCTCAGGGCTGTTCTCCATCCATTCTCCACCCAGCCTGGCAAACATCAGCTCTGCTGAGCTGAACCCTGCAGGAAGGGTGTGGGGATATTCTGGGGAAGGAGAGGCCCAACCGAGCCCCACTCCCCTGCACAGCTCCTGGCTGTGCCCTGGTCCCAGCCCCTCACCAGGCTCTGGTGTCTCGTGGTCCTTGCTCAGGAGCAGGTGCTGGCCCTGGTGTCACGAGGCTGGTTAGGGACAGGTAACCAAAGTGTTGTGAGTTTTTTGGGGCTGGATCTCAGAGCAGGTGCCCAAAACAAGAGAGGACAGCCAGGGGTGAACCTTGCTGGAAGCTGCCTTGGGTGGTAGGACAGTTGATGCTCTGGGTTTGTCTTCACCTCCCCATTACCTGGAAAACTTCAGTCCTTCACTAAGGGAACTCTTAATTAGCACAGTGTGCTTCTCTTGGTAGCACCCAAGTGGTGCCCCTGCCTTGATGTCCCTGAGGAAGCCAGAGCTTGAACCCATGTCTCTTGGTAGAGTTGGGGGTGCCAGGAGTCAGGGGGTGTCCACAAAAGTTGTCTTGTTCTCTGCAGCTCCTCAGGAGCAGCAGGAGGGAAGCCCTGGTGCCAGCCAGCTGGCAGTGGGGAACTGGGATCTGATGGGATGGCTGCTGGGAAAGCACTGGGATTGTGGGGAGAGGAAAGGCTGAAGACCTGGAGGATGTAGCTGTGACCCTGAATCTCTAGTGGGTTTGGTCACCTCCTCTGCTGCCCCATCACCTCCACCAGTCCCCCTGAAAGAGGAGTTTGGGCTCCCTGGCCACGTGTCACACTGGACAGGTGGCATGTCCCAAACTGGTGGATGAAGTGGGGATCCCTGGCTGCCCACTCCAGGGACCTGGGCTGGGAGATGTGAGGCATGTTGGTCACCAGACTGAGGTGTCATGGAGACTTACCTCAATCAACAAAGCATCCTCATGGCTCCTTACTGTCTCTTGCAGGAGAAGTGGTGAACACCCATGGTCCTGTTGAGCCAGACAAAGACAACATCCGCCAGGAGCCATACACCTTGCCCCAGGGCTTCACCTGGGATGCTCTGGACCTCGGGGACAGGGCTGTGGTGAGTACCAGCAGCTTGGCCAACAACTGCAGGGAGGGCATCACCATTGCTGGGTTGGCAGTTCTGTGCTTGGACTGAGGAAGATGAGTTTGAGGATGGGAACACGTCCTTCACCACAGCAAGCAGCTCTCCAGCTCAGTGCTCGTGCTCTCTCCTTGGGCTTCAGAGAGTCATGGAATCCCAGATTGGTTTGGATTGGAAGGGACCCTAAAGATCATCAGGTTCCAAACCTCTGCTATGAGCAGGGACACCTCCCACCAGCTCAGGCTGCTCCAAGCCCCATCCAACCTGCCCTTCAACACTGCCAGGGATGGGGCAGCCACAGCTTCCCTGGGCAACCTGGGCCAGGCTCTCACCACCCTCACAGCAAAGAATTCCCTCCTCATGTCTCACCTCAATCTCCCTCTTCCACTTTTCATCCATCCCCCTCATCCCATCCCTCCCTGCCCTTGTCCCAAGTCCCTCCCCAGCTTTCCTGGAGCCCCTTCAGGCACTGGAAGCTGCTCTAAGGTCTCCCTGGAGCCTTCTCTTCTCCAGGCTGAACACCCCAGCTCTCCCAGCCTGTCTCCAGAGCAGAGCTGCTCCAGCCCTGGGGTCATTTTTGTGGAGTTGGGTGGGTCTGACCCCCCCCCCACCATGGAGTCACCTCTCACCCCTGCCAGGTTGGCCTGGTTTCTTCATGGGGATGAACATGGAGTTCTCCATGTGCATCTTAAGGATGCCTGAACCCAGGTGGATCCCTCAGGAAGACTTTCCAGACCCATCTCCCCGGGGGATGACACGAGGGCAGCAGGACTTGTCTGTGTGTCCTGCTGCTTGTCCTGCTCTGGTGGCGCTGGTGGCAGGGACAGGGCCACACCAGCAGTGCTGGGGGGGGCTGGTCTGAGGGCAGCTGGGGTGTGTGGTGGCTGAAGAACCAAGACTCAT